TATGTTATTTGAATTAAAAATTTCAATTATAATTCATTATTTATCAATTATGCCCAGCTAATTATTACCGATAATTGATTCTAATTATTTCCGATTTCCCATCACTAGAACTTGAATCAGACTGCTAATTAAATAAACCACATTATTATTATTCTACTTTTATATAGCACCTTATGTAAATATGTTATTACCCTGAAGCACCTTACATGTATAAAACAAGTACCAGGGGCGGATACAGGATTTGTGGTTAAGGGGGGGGACGTGGATAATTCTGTTGAGGCAAGAGGTCTGGGGGCCGCCTTAAGGCCCTTAGTAGGTCCAGGGCGAAGCCCTGGTGGAGGCCCAGGGGGCAAAGCCCCCGGAAGCTCTTGGGTTTTCATGTATTTTAAAGTAAAATCAGGCACATTAATAGTGCATATTTTTCAATTATTTTTGTTAAAAGTATATAGCATATAGGTGGGGGCCCAGCTCCCGGAAGCTCCTGGGTTTTATTGTATTTTAGAGTAAAACCAGGCACATATTAACCAGTGCATATTTTTCAATTTATTTTTGTTAAAAGTATATAGCATATAGGTGGGGGTCCAGGGGGCGAAGCCCCCTGAAGCTCCTCGGTTTTCGTGTATTTTAGAGTAAAACCAGTGCCGCACAATAATAGTGCATATTTTTCAATTATTTTTGGTATAAGTAAATAGCATGTAGGTCCAGATGTTTGAAAAATAAATGTTTTGAATATTTCACATTTCTCATTGTATTGTAACACATGTCACTATATAATAAACGATTTACTTACTCATAATGGTATTGGTTAGTGATGTATCAAAGTACGACGTGTTTAATACTTGTCATGTCATACTTTGAGTAGTAGGGGCGCAGCCCCCGGAAGCTCCTGGATTTTTGTGTATTTTAAGAATAAAACCAGGCAGAATAACACTTATTTGATTAGTTTTGTATCAAAATGTGGCATTATAAGTATTAGTCACATCATACTTTGAAAATTTTAGGGGGGGCGTGCGCCCCCCACGCCCCCCTTAAATCCGCCAGTGAGTACAATATAAAACAAAGAACAAGTGCAATATAAAAGGCAGAATTGTAAAATCATGAAAATGACACCTTTCTCCTATTAATTTTTTTTTAAATAAAAAATACCCAAAAACAATAATGAACTGCAAGTAGATCTATAGTCTTTTTATTGTACTGTTGTCTTTTTTAAGCATTTTACGCACACTACTAATAATGTCTATGCTTTTTTTTAGCCAATTGTCAGGAACCTGTGTAGGCGATATTCTTCATCTCTGCGATTGACACAAAATCACAATTTATGTAGGAGTTTCCTTTCTGCAAACTTCGACAAATACTTCGTACTGCTGCTAAAGTACTTTCATTAATAATAAGTTATCCTTTATAAATATGTCCTGATGACAGGTGTACCTATATGCGAGAGTTGTCACTGTAGACGACTCACATTTACAAAAGTTTTTCCCCTTTGTGGGAACTATCCGGGGTCAACCAGCGTAAGGCACTGTTTTCCCTCTATAACCTTACCAACTTTATAGATCAGTATCTTACTTCTACTCTTAGTAATTAAATCTGCATGAATATGATCATAATTTACCTTACCCCATACTCTGGCAATACAGGTACAGATCCAAATTGTTCGATAACGTTTGAAAATTAAAAATATTAACAAGTAACTTAAAAAGGACAAAGACAGTGGGAAAACGAGCGTTACGCCGACAACGGGACATAATTCTTAGAAATGTAAAAAAAATCGTCTATTTATATTAATTATGCAATGACAAACTATTAGTCTATTACGCTTCCTTCTACTAAGTAAATCTAAAAAAAAAAAAATCTTCTCAATCTTTTTTAACACTAGTAAAATGTAGCAGTGCCTAAATGGACTTGTTTTTCTCCATGTGACTTTCTCCGAAGGAGACTTCAACTGCGCAATACGATCGCTGTGCCTAAACACTGCATATATGCTGCATGAACAAATATACGCAAGGTAGTAATTATTCAGCTAAATCCTTTACTCTTCAAACCTTACAGAATGAAAACAACAATCAGCAATGAACACTTTTGTTTCAGATCAAAATTCGGTTACTTCTTTACCGTCCACATCAAAAATGGCTGAAGGAGTGAGCCTCGTTTTCATTTATTATGTACACCGCGCCCGATCGAAAAAAAAAATAAACAAAGGTAAACCTAATCCGTTATCATTTCGTACGGGCACAAACTAGACAAAATTGAATGCGCACTAAATAAGGTTGCTTGCATATTAATGTAACTAATCATGGCTCTGTTGCTTATGAGATCTAGAGAAGAAGATTTTTAAATTTTAAAGGTTTTCTGATGTATTCTTATTTAAAATTTACTCATCCATTACGGACCAACCCTTACCCCAGGGGTCATGATTTGAACAAACTTGAATCTACACCACCTGAGGATACTTCACTATGAGTCTAATCTTTCCTGGCCCAGTGGTTCTTGAGAAGAAGATTTTTAAAATACATCATTACTTTTTCACAAATTCCTAATTATCTCCCCTTGAAAGGGAGCATGGCCCCTCATTTGAACAAACCTGAATCCCCTTCACCTAAGGATGCTTTATTGCAAGTTTGGTTGAAATTGGCCCAGTGGTTCTTGAGAAGAAGATGAAAATGTGAAAAGTTTACGACGACGACGACAACAACAACGACAACAACGACAACAACGACGACGACGACAGACAACGGACAGATTGTGATCAGAAAAGCTCACTTGAGCCTTTGGCTCAGGTGAGCTAAAAACAACATTATACTGCATTTTTTATATCTTGTAATCTGAAACAATATAAATCTGAGCACTGAACTCACAAAATATAATCATCCCTCCAATATGTGTATAATGGCAAAGTCTAGCTTCATATAAAGATATACAAACATATATGAAATTTTTCTTTGCCAAATGATAGTTGAGAACTCAAGGTATCATATTAAAAATTTAAATTATATCTGATGGTTAATTTGTCGACCCCAACGTCCCCCCCTCCCCCCACCTCCTTAAAGGTCTGTGAAAGTCTCATAGAATTTTATGTAATGGTACAGGGTAATAGTACAGGCGGTATATAACAGGAAGAAGGTCAATCACCAAGTTTTGCCATTGGAAACCATTAGGTTCCCCAAAAATACCAAAATAAAATACGTGTATTGATATTTTTACCAGCAATCTTTACAGTGATTTTAAAACAAGAATCATAAATTTTCCTAAAAATATGCTGGAAGAACATACAATCACTTTTTTCATTTGCTTCATTTTAATAATATAAAGCATACATTTAATTGGATGCTAGAATGCCGTTCTTCCACTAGTTTTCAACATTTAAAAAAAATTCTGTAATTTTTATTTTAAATACTGAATAAATTCATGAATAATTCCTGTAATTATTTATCTAAGGCCATAATAAAAACAATCATTAGATTTTCATCTAAATTAATTAATCATTCCTGTAATTATGTATCTAAGGCCATAATAAAAACAATCATTAAATTCTCATCTAAATTAATGAATAATTCCTGTAATTATGTATCTAAGGCCATAATTAAATAAGAATCATTAGATTCTCATCCAAATTAATGAACAATTCCTGTAATATACATCTAAGGCCATAATGAAACAAAATCATTAGATTCTCATCCAAATTGTTTGAAAACTGGAGGGAGGCTAGTGGATTTTATTTTATTTTTTTTTTTTCATTTTGCAAGTTTTTCATTGACCTGTTAATGCCCAAATAAAAGTTAAAGTAGAGATCCATTTAAACATGCATATCTCTTTTAAAATATACATAATCACCAGTCTTTCACTACGAATGATCCTTGTTTAATATGTATTAAAATAAATACGTTCTTCATGATCTTGTCAGCTGTCAAAATCATGCGGACATTCGCAGGATTTAAGACAAAAGTTGAATGGTATAGTTGATTACCAATCCTGATTAGAATCAAGACAAAAAAAAAATCAAGAAGTCTGTGAGCAAATGCTCCCTAGTAATACCCCCGCTCTGCATTTGAATTAACACTCTTATGTAAATATACACATATATAAATGAATCACAAGATACGTTTAGCCTAGAGAAAAGGTACGCAAAATTTTTTACTGCAAAGGAAATTTGGTACGGATAAATACACAGTTTAACAGGAAGTTGACATCAGATATGTATAGAAGTGAATCCTACAATATGACATGTCTAGACAAACAATGTGGTAAAATTTCAAGCATCATCTAATTATCGAGAAAATTCCAACTAAAATTTGGTACGGACAAATGCATGGATTAACAGGAAATGGACATCGGATTTGTACAAAAATCAATCCCACCATATGGCATGCCTTGACAAAGATTTTGCTAAAATTTCAAACATCAGCGATGATTATTTGCTGATAAAACTACAACGATTTTTTTTATGAATAGACATACACAAACTAGATACACAAGGGTAAAACAGTATTCCATCTCCTCTCCGGAGCAAAGGTATAAAATATCGAGGTGGGGTTAAAACATGCTGGGCGGGGATCAGAATCTAGGAATCTTTTATTATGGCCTAAATACATGTACCAGTATTTTAGTCTCTATATCATGATACGTATCACGCAATCAAAACCATGATACATCGATGAGATCGCACATGTCCAGGAAACGCCCAATATATGTTCAATCTAAATAATCTCTATAACATAGAATATGTAAAATGGCACTCATTAATAACACAGTCACTGTGTAAAAAAGATTCTGTGAAAGTCTCATTGAATTGCATTAAGTGGTGTAAGAGGAGTTACAGATAAGGCATGCCTATCCCCAAGAGAGACGGATTATGTACTGAAACCTCCATTATAATAATTATACTCCTACTTTTCAAGTGGGAGGTATAACAAACCTAATAAATCACTCACTTCTTCAGGCCATTGAGAATAATGAATGACTTTAATACCACTAGTACTAATCCCATGTTATGAATTACTCACTTCTTCTCATGATTTCTAGTCCATTTTTCTTCTTCAAACCTCGCTAACGGAGGTTTTAATTCTGTGTGACCTACAAAACCAATTTTTATAATGTTTAGGTACAATATGATGTCTTTCCTGATGATACAGTCACACATCTTTATCTTTAACGTGTTGGAATCAAGAGAAAACCTCAATATATCTGAGGATTAAAGATATTGAGCATAAAAAGTACTTAAAGAATAAGTGTTTGATATTTTTAAATATCTTCAATATATTCAAGGTATTTTAGATAACAGTTTAAGAGACACCCCAGTTTCTCTTTACTTAAGAATAATATAACAAGGCGAAGGCCTTCTCAGAAGATTTTATCACATACCGACCCATTTCAATTCCCATTGAAGTTTATAAACTTGTTATTAATTACTTATATGAGTTATCGCCCTTCAACGCAGAGGCGCTTACTGTTAAACCTTATATCTTTAAAAGTGTAAGTCGTAGAGACATGGAGTCAATTGCAATATGACCCTTGACCTTGAAAAATTTTTCAAGATTAAAGGTCAAGTTCATTCCAAAATTGAGAATTTAAGCTCCTTTTATATCTTTTTTGTCTTTTAACGTATACAATCTGTCTTTGTATCATTAATATGTACTCGTAAAAACTATTTCAGAGATTTCATTATTGCGAAAAAGTCGTGGAAGCATGAAATTAATTGCAATGTGACCCTTTACCTTTGATCTTTGATCTTGAAAATATATTCAAGGTCAAAGGTCAATGTCATTTAAAGATTTCAAAAATTTCCATTTTTTCTATCCTTTAAGCCACTTTTGGAATCTTCTTTATGGTATTTAAGGAGTTAAACAAAACAAAATTGAAATTCAGAGAAAGTGAACAATAAGTCTCCTAGTTTTTTTTTTTATTATTTTTCCGCCGAATGTTTTTTGTTTCAAAAGTTGTCGAAAAGATTTATAGTTCATATAAGAATGTGCTCCTTAAATGATTTTTTTCATTTGACCCTGCGTTTATGAACTTCGACCACTTTCGGAGTTATCGACCCTTTTGCAAAAATACTTGTTATCGCTACTTCTCCGAAACTGTAAATCGTAGAGGAATGAAACCTTCAGCAATGTCTTTGACTAATTTAGGAGACCTTAATTCCTTCTTTGCAAAAGTATTCATGATCTCTTCAATAAGTTAATGCCCCTGAATGTTCTTAAATTTTACAATTAATTAAAAATTTCCAAAACTTGAGGTCGTAGAGACAAGGAACCAACTGCATAAGATTCATTGATCTTTGAATTTAAAATTAATGTAAGGGTCAAAGGTCAAGGTCATTCCAAAATGATGAATTAAGTTCTTTTTATATTTTTTTGTCTTTTAACCTATACAATCTGTTTTTGCATCATTAATATGAACTCTTAGAACTATTTCAAAGATTTCATTCTTGTCCCTTTAGATTGACCCTATTAAAAGTTATCGCCCCTTGTGCGAAAAAACCTTGTTATTGCTCCTGCTCCGAAACTGTAAACCGCAAAGACATAAAACTTTTACGTATATCTTAAGGGACTTTAGGCACAACTTTTATGTTCAAATGCGAAAGGATCTGGTGACTCTTTGAATGAGTTACTCCCCTTTAATGCTTTTGTGCTTACCATTAAACCTTATTAATTTAAAACTATAAGTCATAGTGACATGGGGTTAATAATAATGTGACACATGACCTTTGACTTTGAAAATAATTTGAAGGTCAAAGATCAAATCACCTCCAAATTTTCAAATTTTTCTTTTTTCTTCTTTTAAGCCATTCCTAGTTTCGTTTTAATGAAATTTAATTTTAAAGAGATAGATATTAAATGAAAGTGAAATTAAAAAAATGTGGAAAGACCTCTTATTGTTTTGTGAACAATAAGTCTCCTATTTTCAATAGTGGTCGTTATTTCAAAAGTGGTAACAACAGAACAGTTTTAGTATTTAACAAAATACGAGTGTGTATGACGTCATTTTGAATCGCCATTTTGAGCTAATTTTAAACAGATTTCGATTTTAAACGACTAAATTTTCCGAAATAAAGTGTTCTGTTTGTAGTTTAACATAATTGTTTTCTGCTCATTTAGATTTTCACAAATCCTTTCTCTTATTTAAAGACATTGAAAAGTAATTTTAAAAAAAATGAATATCCACCATTTTAAAACGCCATTTGGACTTTTAACGTACAGCTGCACCATCAGTCAACCGTAGAAAAGTGAGATGAAGAAGAAAAATACAAATCTGCTGTGTATGGATGTTTGCAAATGTAAAATCCCAAGCAAAGCAAAATATAGAAGCAAAGGACAAATAAATCAGAGAAAATTCGAATTAAATCATCTAGAAACGAAACTTTTCCGCGTTAAAACTAAAAATATTAGAATTCTATATTCATTTTTAGCCGGGCTTATTGCTTAAAGGGCAATTGCCGGCTTATGTCATCCTGTTCAAGGCAGGAAGTCAACCCCATATTCGCCATTTTAAACTTACGTGCAAAAATACAGTTCTTTCTCTCAACCGCTTTTGAGATAATACAAACGCTAAATAAAGCAACAAAAATAAAAAGTTTTATCTATATAAATAAATATGAGTAGTAATGACTTTGAAAACTTCAGTCCTATGTCAAAGAACATAGTACATTAGCGTAAGGATTTTTGATAATCAGTGTTATTGTAGTTCTCTACACATACGAGGTAAAGCAGGAGAGGGAACCAGACTGACCAGCTGTTTGTTTACATTCAGCTGCGATACCAGATTAATTCTGATTCTGACAAATTCGGACCTTGGTATTAGGATTGAAAAACTCACTGTCAGTGTCTTATCATTTATATTGATAGTTTAAAATGATTTTTTTCATCAGAATATAAACGTGATTCATGTAAGAAATTCATTCTACTCAGTTTGTAAATGAGCCCGGCTATCTGTTCTTCTGAGTACTTTGATTATACTTGTATTATTCTCACGCAGCACAATTAAGGTTACAAATGGAAATATCGATAAGATATTTATAAGATAAAAAAAATATTCTTTACATGTATAAGGATGGACAATTGTTTTTAGGACTTCACTGATATAAAAAAATATGAAAAAAACCATGTCTTTATATGGATTTGTACACCTCTTCTAAAACAATTTTTGATGGAAAAAACATCTAGAATTTATGTTTTATAATTTTTATACATTTTTATTTGAATTATGCAAAAAATTTTAAAATTCAATATCTTTTCAAAACCTAACGCATGCTGATTTTTTGTCTAATGACATGATATAATATTATAAGTTTTAATTTAGAATATCTTGGAAAATTATCAATAGGTAAGGTAGGTTGCGTATGTCCTTAAATTGATATAATATAGTATGCTAGAAAAATTTCATTTTATTTCTTTTTTTCAAGTTCAAATTTAACTTATACATCTGATATTTTTTTTTGCCATAATAATGTTTCTCTCTAGCTTACACCTAGTATAATTATTGCAAAATACTAACTGGCTAAGCACTTCTCCAGGGATTTTGTCACCTCTGTAATGTTTTGTAGTAGTCTATTCTCGTCATTTCTGGATCAATCTGCGTGGCGAAGGCATTGACAATTTCCCGAAACCAGTTCAAAGCATAAAACAGAGCAGTACATACGATATCCTTTTCCTTGGTAGCGAGTGTTTCCATTATATCAACCACTTCTGACTTTGGTACAAATATTGGACATCCTGGGAAAAAAATTAAAGGAAGAGTATTTAAAAGAACTATCTTTCTAGGTAGTTTAACTATAACTACCAATCCAGTTATCTGTCTTATTACTTGCAACACAAGAGAAGTTTTCGGTAAATCCAAAAAGATACATACATGTAATGCCTATAATAACTAGTGTTAATTGTAACAGGGACCGTTACAGATGTTCCCCAAACGTTCCCCATATCCCTTTTTGTGCCTTATCCCTGTAATACGTTTTTCTATTGCTCAGTATTGAAGGATTTCATTTCAAAATATAAAAGTTACAATACTTCTATACTTCAGTAGTGTAGTAATTATGTCTTTAGTTGTTTGATACACACCCTGTGTTGTATGTAACATGTTCTATACTTCAGTGGTGTGGCATTTCTTTAGTTGTTTGATACACACCCTGTGTTGTATGTAACATGTTCTATACTTCAGTGGTGTGGCATTTCTTTAGTTGTTTGATACACACCCTGTGTTGTATTTAACATGTTCTATACTTCAGTGTTGTAGCAGTGTTCTTACATCGATTCCAACACTCACCAACATTCAAGTCCCTGAGGGGACTTCTTGTAGCCCATCTCCCCTTTGGCTTATACGAGGATTTGGGTGTTTTTGGTGTTATAATTCCATACTGAAATTAAAACAGCCAAATGATTAACATTGCTCTGATTTCTTACATCTTATTGATAAAAGTCAATTTAAGTCATGCTTAAAATCATATTGTAAGCAGAGGTCAAATAACAATTTCTTTGTCTTAATAGCTAACCCTTTCTAAGTTTATCCACAGTCACCTTAAGTCCAACTTACTCAGCATTTGACTATTCAAAATATTCATGCGCTGATTGACCTAATTAGCCTACTTTATTTTCATACACTCACCTTAAACACAAATAACATTACCGGTAAGCCTTGGTCAATATAATATATTCATTTTCGGTTTGACCTTATTAGCCTAATTTAAGTTTAAACACTTACCTTGACAACAAATGACCCAATCAGCCTAATCATTAAGCCTTGCTCAATTAATATAATTCATTTTCACCTTGACCTCATTAGCCTAACTTATTTTTAAACACTCACCTTGACCACAATTGACCCAATAATCCTACTCAATTAACATTAGACATTAAGCCTTATCTATTTACAACCCCTCTCATTCTGGCCCAGTCAACCTACTCACTTAGCCTTGGTCTTTTTTTTATCCACTAACCTGAAGCTTTGCCCAGTGCGGTAATGAACCGTCTCGTTCCGTCTCTTTACTGCTAAAAATTGAAAAAAAAGTTGGATATATATATAATTGAAAAGTTTATTCTTTCTGTTAGACTCTTTTGTATTTTAAATAATTCAAATAAAACAATATATTATTTTTATGTGAACAAAAGTTTGACTGAGCCAATTGAAAACAGGGTGAATATAAATAAGGATATAATTTCTTCCACAGAACTGTCATTGGGCAAAGGATGATGTGACATAACTGCTATCTGGGGCCCTTTTTTCACGACGAATTAAATTTAATCTACAGCGATGTTGGTAGTTTTCAAACATGAGTGAATAAAAACGACGCCTTTTGAAGTTTCAATAGTTCAGACACATTTTAATTATAAGGAATACTGCATTATCTTTGATTTTTTAGACCCTATCACAGTTAAATTCGGCCAGGTTTGTGTGAATATTTTCTTTTATGGCAAGAGAATGGGCGGGTCTTAAAACAATAGAGGGATATGCGTGTCTCAGAAGACCTTATATGGCTTTTGTTATTATTTCGCACTTGGTCATTGTCCAATCCGATGACAGAATAACAAAACATGCTTGTTTAGTACGTTTACATTTTATCACAGACACGTGGTTTAGGTCAATTAACCTGTTATCCTTTTTCTATATTTCAAACTTTTATAATGGTCAGCCAATGTTGTTTATACTCAAATAATACGCATGGATTTGCAGCATTTATGGTTTTTAGGACAAGAAATGCACATGAAACTTGTATTCACCGATACTCGGGAATACATGTAGACCTAGCGAATTGCTCACCAAACACACTACAAAACTTTAAACTAATGTATATCATGTATATTCTATCAATTGTTTGTAACTGTATTTAGATTTAACTGTGGTCTCGGGAATGGTACATATGTAGATCCGTGTCTAATCTGTAACTCAAATGCATAAAAAAATATCGGAAAGCAGTAAAATTTCAAGCATGTTTCCATTGTATTTTTGTGGTACTCACTCGTAACGAATTTCATTTAGCTGATTGGTCAGTTAGAAAGTATCGCCTGTGCCTCGATTAGCATATGAATTCATTCTAACGTCAGAAAATCTAGTTCCGTCAATCTGTTTATAATGGGAAAGGTCAATTAGATTTTACAATTTTTTTAAAAATAACATGTGAGCACAGTTAGGTACAATTTTTTCCTTTCACATATAGGTAGAATACAATGAAATACAGTGACCAACCAAAGGAGAAAATTGTACTTATCTGCGCTCGTATATTTTAAGGGTTTCAAAGAGTGGGGCGGGGTTAAAATGCAATGGGAATTGAATGTAAACAAGGTACCCCTATCCCAATTAAAGATCTATATCCTTCAACATTTTCAAATCACGTTTCTATTTTTGTAAAAAATAGTATTCTATGATGGTACACATATCAGTGATTAGTTACATAGTTTACACAAATATGAGTAAAATTTAGACATTTATTTTTTTTGTCAATATACCAGGGGCCGCAAGTCACTTATCCTTTATAATGGGGCAATTTTTCTTGCAAGTGTCAAAGGGCAAAAATAACACAGGATGAAAGTAGCCCTGTATACAGTGTTCTTACATCGATTCCAACACTCATCAACATCCAACACCCTGATAGGGCTTCTGGTTGCCCGTTTCCCCTTTGGGCCTAAATGGTGTTTTCGGGGTTTAAGGAGTTCTTATACCCAACTGAAATTAAAAGAGCCAAATGAATAACATTGCTCTGATTTCTAACATCTTATTGATAAAAGTCATTTTAAGTCTTGCAAGTGTAAAAGGGCAAAAATAACACCTGGTGAAAGTAGCCCTGTATACAGTGTTCTAACATCGATTCCAACACTCACCAACATCCAAGACCCTGGGGGAATTTCTTGAAGTAAAATTGGGTGATACACATTAGGTATATAATGAAGATATGGACTGGACACGAATTATGAAATTTTTCTTCCAGTGACCTTTAACTTCCCAAATGACCTTGGGTCAAGGTCATGACACACCCTTAGGTCATGGGCAATCTAAGTGTGAAGTAGTAAAACAATCATTACAAGAGTCAATTTTCTACCATACCAGTTTTTTTTTCTATATAATTAAAACAAGAGGCCCAGGGCCACTTCGCTCACTTGAGCACATCGGCTAGGAAAAAGCACAGATCAGATAAGAACTGAAAAGTTTACTTAAAAGGGAGGGGGCTACCCTCCATATCCCATAGGTTATTATTTGAACAAATTTAAATCTTCAATATATGAGGATGCTAACATGTCAATTTGACTTAACATACATGTAGCTTTTCTATTCTTGAGATTTTTCCTATATTTTTCTATGTATAAATTTGATCGGCCTTTGTGGCCCCATCCTATCCCTAGGGGTTATGATTTGAACCAATTAAAATCTACACTACCTGAGGATGATTCCACATGACTTTCATCTTTCCTGGCCCAGTGGTTCTTGAAATGAAAAATACAGTGAAACCTGACTAATCCGACATGCATTGGGAGAAGAATTTTGTGTCAGAATAGACAGGGTGTCGGATTGGACAGTGTTTAAAACATAGAAAATAGTAAAATGGGAGAGAAATTTCAAGTCGGAATTCACAGTGTGTCAGATTACTCAGGTGTCGGATTAGACAGTTTTCACTGTAATACCCGATGAAAGTAGCCCTGTATACAGTGTTCTTACATGGCACCTGATCCCACCTCTGATGTTTCGGAGGTCCGTGTTTGCTCTGCTTTTATTTTGTATATTTGTTTAATGGACGTTGAGATTGAATACTGTTCGTTATTTCCATATCCTTTTTTTATCGATTCCAACACTCACCATATAATAGAATAGAATTTAATATATTCATTTTCGGCTTGACCTAGTTAGCCTAATTTAATTTTAAACACTAACCTTGACAACAAATGACCTAATTAGCCTAATCATTTAGCTTTGATCTATTTAATTTATTCATTTTCACCTTGACCTCATTAGCCTAATTTATTTTTAAACACTCACCTTGACCACAATTGACCCAGTAATCCTACTCAAGACATTAAGCCGTATCTATTTACAACCCCTCTCATCCTGGCCCAGTCAGCCTACTCACTAAGCCTTGTTCTTTTTTATCCACTCACTTTAGCTTTGTACAGTGCGGTAATGAACCGTCTCGTTACTGCTAAAACAAATTGAAAAAAGTTGGATAAAACCTTAGTGTTCATGAACATTACCTTACACATGTTTCACAGCTTCTTACCCTGATACACATCTAGCAGACAAAAGTGCTATTTAAAATAATTACGACCCTTTCCAAAAAATTTTCTAAATCTTCTCATTCCTTTCCATGACATGGCCATTGAACCACTTCGGAGTAATGTAAAATGTAAAATCACATATTTTCGTGGGGTCACATTTTCGTGGTTTGAGTATAAATTCTTGGTTTGTTGGGATAAGAATTCGTGGATGAAGAATCGTTGAGTCTATATTTTGTGGTGGACATGAATTCATTGGTCTCTTAATACCTCGAAAACAACGAAAATTAAACCCCAACAAAAATTTGTGATTTCACAGTATTAATGAAGAATTAAAAGGGACCAAATTGTAGTACAAAATACTAAAATAGAAAATAAATGATTGCATAGGTTCATGTTTGCTTTTTATTCTTCACCTATCACAAGTACAAATTATTTTGCTTGAGTTAATACCCTCCCACTTCCCCTGAGATACAGTTGAGCTCAAAATAACTTTGCCTCTGTTTAGTTTGCCCCATTTTATATACTCCCACTGGTGACAAGGGAAGGAGTTTTCAAGAAAACAAGCGATGTTTGTAAAACATTTAAGCCTCCTTCCCCAAACTGGAATTTTTCAAAATCCATGAGACATAACTCTATAAACAAGAGGCCCATGGGCCACATCGCTCACCTGAAAAGCTTTAAACATGTTGTTCTTTAACAGATTTTCCCCTTGTAATACACATTGTGACCTCACCCTACCCCTCATAATTTGAAAAAATTGGAATCTACACTTTTCAAGGATGTTTCCACATAGGTTTCAGCTTTTCTGGCTCAGTGGTTCTAGAAAGGACAATTTTCAAAGATGTTTTCTATATATTTCTATGTAAAACTTTGATTCCCCATTATGGGCCCAACCTAGCCCGGAGGTCATGATTTGAACAATTTATAATCTACTCTACCCCTACTCTACTCTACCCAATGATGCTTCCACATAAGATTAAGTTTTTCTGGCCCAGAAAATTTTCTAAATTATATCCTATATATTTCTATGTAAAACTTTGATTCCCCATTGTGGCCCCGCCCCACCCCTAGGGATGATGATTTGAACAATTTAGAATCTAGACTACCCAAGTATGCTTCTACATTTAAGTTTCAGCTTTTCTGGCCTAGTGGTTCTTGAGAAGATTAGTTAATGCCCCGACAGGGAGTACGCACCCGCAGTATATATATTTCCACGGAAAACGCCAAATTTGGTCAGATTAGTTTTGACAATTTAACGGCGTAGACGTAATGGAATGATAGTCATTATAGGATAAATTAGAGGATTTAAGCGTCATTGTTGTGATCTATTGTAGATGAAGATTTATCATAATTCATTTCAGGAGTCTTAAAATACCGGTTTAACAAGATTAACAAAAACAGGATTTACAGAAAATTCTTCGATGGACTTTGATGTGACAGATTTTTATTTTCTCTGTAAATTGCGACATTTTAAACAAAGTTAAAGAGACCCGTGGCTATTGTTAGGATTTTAAACAAGAGGCCCATGGGCCACATCGCTCACCTGAGTTCTTGAGAAGATGAAAATGTGAAAAGTTTACAGACAGACGGACGCCAGACAAAATGTGATCAGAAAAGCTCACTTGGACTTTCAGCTCAGGTGAGCTAAAAATAAAAATGCGGAAAGAATGGACTTGAATGATATTTCACAAGGAGAGTGGATGTTTTCATTACTGCGATTTTTCCGTTTCATTTGGATCGAAATTACATTTAGAGGACGTTTTCCGTTATCGCAAATTTTCCTT